TCTCAGAAATAGAGTTCTTACTATATATATTTGTGGTCTCTGCACTTTGTTGCTGAAAGAAATGGTTAGTAGTTTAGTATTCCCTAAAAGACTGATTAAGTACCATTACAAATAAATAACAGGACAAGGAATCAGATTACTTCCATTTTGTGATAATGATCACCAGGGAGAGAGTGGCAGTGTCAGTTTCCAACCCACTCTAGAGAGACAGGATTTGGTTTTTAGTTTGTTTCTTTGTTTTCTGCAAGCATCTCTCTCAGGTAATGACCTGTAGCTGATACCATGATGGACAGATCCGTTCTATTCTGGCAATTTCTACACGTTGTATGTAGATGATCTCATCACTTGGCATAAAATTGAGCCCAGTGAATTTAGGGGCAGACCCAGAATTTTGAAAAGGGAGCGTATGGTTAAGATCAAGCCAAACTCTGGAAGAGGAACCAATCAGCTGAGGGAACCTGATTCTGGGCTGCCTGGCCCCTCTTTATGAAATGCTCACTGCCTGCACCATCACTGACTACCCTAACATCCCCAGGGCTCCCTGTCTCCTGACACCTTTACATCAGAAGGCAACAGCCACCTCACTCAATCCAGGCTGGCATTCCATCCCATGCCTCCCTGTCCTGCTTCACTCAGAAAACCCTCACCTTGCCCTCATGAGAATGTGCACTTGATTGGCTGTTTGGAGTGTCACTCAACCCAGGCAGCAAATCACAAGAGACAAGGGGAGAGTCCACATTATATTTCCTTCATACACCAGACCAACATGGCCAAGGGTTGCTAATGCCACCTCCCCTAAATCTGCACTCAGGGCTGGTGCCCCTATTTAAGTATTCTTAGTTAAGCATCCTACACAGTAGGAAGGGGGTTCAGTTATACCACTGTACCCATTCCCCCTTGACCTGCCTCTCAGTTAATTGTATGTATCCCTTAAGAAAAGCCATAATTACGGAATAAGATGTCATTCTGGAATTCAATGACCTTCATGGGTTTTAGTGCAAATATCTTTACAATGAATAAGTCATCACCACATACCAGCATTCATACTCACCATTAAAAGCCCCACAGTAAGGACAGATACTTTTCTTTCTGCACTTTTCAGAGACTTTCTTTTTCAGTCCTCGTTTCTGGAGATATGTCAAGCCAGGTCTCTTCAAATAATCCAAAAACTGTTTTTTTTCTTCTGAGGTCAGCATAATGCGGCAACAGGTTTTGCAAATCATCTTAAAAAGATAAGCACAAGAAAGCGGAGATTGCACAATTGTAACTAGAACAAACTGTTAGGGTCTCTGGATGAAGGGAGCTGCTACAGTCCTTTACCACCTGTTATACATGGCATTTCACAAATGAAATTCCACTGCCTACATGTGGGAATCTATTTAGTATGCAGCAAACAGTCCAAACAATGAATGCAAGGAAATCTTGTTTACGAGGACGAATTGAAGTTTTTGCAAAACTACTTAAGAGCAAGAATATCAGTGAAAATCAGATGCGTCTTAGGTTTACTGGCCCCACACAAAAAACTTTGTACCATGCAATTTAATCTGACTCTCTCAAAAGGATGAGGGATTAAATCAAATAGGCAGATTCCACATGCATCATAAGCTTTCTGTTAGGAAAACAAAGCCTTCTGTTTTAATAGGTTAATTTTTTCAATATGTAATACAATAAACATTGAAGAAAATAGCTGTCATACACTACCACCAAATGTTTCGTAATTTCCCATCAAATAAACCAAATGAAAAGTAATTCTCATCTCCCCCCTTCCTCTAACGTTGTCATGATCACAGTCACTGCCCTCAGAACCAACAGGTCTATTTTTACCTGTAAGATACCTATCACAGCTTTGAAGTAGCCAACATGGAAACATGGCAGTTCCAAGTCAATGTAGCCATAATGCCCCAAACAGTCAGCAAGATTCTTCCCACATGTTTCACATGGACGGTCCTTTTCACTGGTACCCTTTGGAAAAAGCATACAGGAACTTTTTAGTTGTGGCTAAACTAGGGGGACAAAACATGACAGCTGCCATTTGAAAGACCTCTGGGAACTCTCCAGTCAGCAGGAGTAGGAAGCACTCCTATACAACTCCCTTGATGCCCAAACTGCACATAAGGAGTACTACACCTATGCCCTTTTCAGCTTGAAAAGCTATAGCAGTGACATGGCATGAGATGTTTGCCTAAGCCAGCAACCCCCAGCACATATGCGGAGCACAGCATGCAGGGCCATTTTCCTTGGTGTGCGTTGGGGCCGGGGAGATGAGGCAGCAGCTGTTTGCAGCCTCCCGGCTGCAGCCGACCCTGGCTCTGGGTAGCTGCTGCCAGCTGGGAGCCCTGCTGGGATCATCCCAAGCTCTGTGGCTATCACCAGCTACCCAGAGCTGGGGCCAGCTGCAGCTGGGATGCTGCAAGCAGCTGATGCCTCCCCACCCCAGCTCTGGCCCCAAAGGGCACCATGCTGGCACCTGCTGCCTTCCCAGGGCTGGGGCCAGGGCCTGAGCTCCTGGCCCTGCTGCCCTCCCCTGCGTCCTCTGGAGTACAGCATGTGACCCAGAGAAGCAGTGCACAGAGGGGTCGCACAGGGAAGCTGCCTGCTGCTGCAAGCTCCGTACTTCCAGGTCACACTTCCCCCGTGTGCATGGGAGCAGCGTGGGCAGCACACAGGGTTGTGCCCCTCACTGCTGCCCCTGCCTGCAGGGGAAGTGTGGCCAAGGCAGTGGGGAGCCAGGAGCAGCAGGCAGCTACTGTGCTGGGTTCCAACACTGCTCTGCAGAAGCAGTGGTGAGGTCAGCACAGAAGGGAGCATCGCTGGCACCTGCTGCCTCCTGGGAGCCCAGGGCCGGGAGGCTGCCAGGGAGGCAGCACCTAGCCCAGGTTCTGGGTAGCTGCTGAGAGCCACAGAGCACAAGCAGGGCCGGGGGGTGGGGGGGGCAAGCAGGGCATCCTTCCATGTACCCCCTGCCCTTGTTTTGTTTTTCTGGCATGCCAGCACTCTGGCACCTTCCAAGGTAGACACTGTGGATTTTTTCGGTGCTCCAGCCAAAAAATGTTTCCTACCCCTAAGCTATTCAATGTCCATCAAGTTGACAGCATGCATCAATTTTTAAGGGACAAAGTGTTTACAACATGAAGGGCCTCAGTTAGTCACTAACTCAGAGAAGCCAAGGAGTTGGAATTAGCTCCCTCCTGCACCAGCAGCATGAAGAGATGCTTGCGTAGGACACCTGCTCTGTGGCTGTGCAGCAAAGTTCAGTTTCCATTTCAACATGGCGCATAAGTTATTCAACAACAGGTGCTAGGTAGAAGCAAACAAGCATCAGAAGTTCTTACCATGCGATGGTCCAGAACCCCATACTGCAGCGGGGCATGGTGGTTGTCCTGGCTGTACAAGTTCTTGCTAACCACCTGGATGTGGGCCTGCTGGCGCATCTCCTCAGGAGACTTCATCCCAAAGCAGATGTGGCTTCTAAAATGGGAGAAGCCATCACAAACCTTTATTTTAGAGCAGCCGGGCAGAGGCAGCCAGAGCAACAACTGGGCACAGCAAGCTCCACCCCCGCAATACCAGACACTGTCTGTGAAGGAGTGTTTCAATGTTTGCCAAGCCAAAAAGCTAAAGCCCAGCCTTGGGTTTTGCAAGCGGGTGGCCCAGAAGCGCAGGCTATGAACAGGTTCCCAACAGTGGCTTTCCCTGCCTACAGTTGCCCTGGGCAGGGCTCAAACCCCAAAGAGGCTGCCAGAAGCGCAAGGATGCCCCAGCCAGTCACCAAGGGCCCAGCGGAGATGTGCAGTGCTCGGTCACGGGGGCTCCGCAGTGAAGTGCCAGGGACCAAACCAACCAGCTCTTCCACCCGCAGGGATAGGAAGGAACCCCTGGGCAACCAGACGTGTCCCTGGTACCACCACGCTGGGGCAGGGACGCGCGTGGGACACGACACACACACCCCGCTGTGGGTCACTCACATCTTCTTGGCCACGTCCGTCTCCCTGAACTGCTCCTTCACCATGGTGGCGGAGGTAGGGGGACAAGGAGGCGAGGCGAGACCGGACCGAGTGGTATTAGAGATGAGCACGGGTCACAACCCCACCCACGCCGCACTACAACCTCTCCCAACCCCGCCTCTTCCGCCTCCGACGAGTGCAGAGCGGCAGCTGAAGAAGGAGCCCAGAGGCGGCACTGCCGGCTCCCGCCGCGGCGACACCTGCCGGCCGCGACGGGCAACGCGCGCAGCCCGGAGTCCCGCTCTCGCGAGC